TGGGCCACCGTTTCGGTATACTCGAGTATTACCACTGGAGGAATAAGGTGATGGCCAGTCCAACCGAGGGGATCCGGAAGTCATAAGGTGCAGATGACCGACAGAATTTCACTGGAACACCGTATCCTACCGTATATATTTACCTTGTATCATGATAATTGTTTCATGCTAAAATGCCAACATGAAATCCTGAGTTATGCCTGTGATATGCTCCATACCTATTACCTGACCAATGTACTCATATCATGATACCTGTCTCATGATAAATGTCTCATACCATGATAAATGTCTCAAATTACTCGTACAATGATTATCACCTCATGATAACATGCCATTGTGCAACATTGAACCATGCATGTGATATACCCAACTTACTTGATTTATTTGAACTGTTAGAGTGTCTTGGAACCTCATTGAGCTGTGTAGCTCATCCCACGTTGTGGTTTTCTTTTACAGGGTTCGAGACCAAGGGTGCTCGTGAGTAGTACTAGATTGTTTTCTTTTGCAGACTTTAAATTATATTATAACGGATGGCTATTGTACCCTTTTCCGTTGGGTTGTATTTAAGCTTAAAAGCTGCATAATTGTAAGTGTGAGATATTTGAAGTACTTTAATTATGAATTGAGGTTACTTAAAGTATTTCGAGCTTTTGAATGATGGATTGTAGTGAGTCCTGGCGAGAGTTGGGCAGGCGTCCCGCGGATACTCTTTGGTTCGCCTTAGGGAGAAGTGGGGGCGTCACACTAATAAATCTCCACCTTGACGAATATTTCTTTTAGCAAATACAACAAACCATCCAAAAAACCCTATTTGCCTTTTTTACCACCAAATGTTTTGGTGTCTAACTACACACTCGAATCAATATGGTCTTGTTTTCAATTGATTCAATCGATAAATAAATGTGTGTAGCTAATCAAGTCTAACATCTAGTTGACTCGTGAGAGGAGCCTCAATTCACCCTCTTTCATAGCAGAATTTTTCGTCTTACCACCATTTGCAATTTGGAAGTATTGTTGGATCCCCATCCTTCCCTATGCTCCCAACTCATTGAGGTAATCAAATGGTACGAATTATCATACTTTTTTCCCATCAATAAGACCGTCTCGCCATGTGTGATTTTCAAAACTCCACTTGCAGTTGAAAAGTGGTAGCTCTCATAGTCTAACTGGTTCAAATAAATTAGATTCCTTCGTAATTTTAGGACATAAGCCACACCACCCAAAGAAAAATTTCTTCATTCAGTATTTTGATTTTCACCACTCCAACACTTTTGACTTTACAAGTAGATTCATCATCCAAAGATACAAAACATGCTTTCTTTTTTTGGGGAGTATCAAAATTGTCTAACCTGGAACAAACATGTAAAACACATCCAGAATCTAAACTCCAACCATCACAAGAAAAAGTATTATTACCTTTGGAGATTGTGAAAATATCTCAATCCGATATATATCCAGCAACATCATCATACTCCTTCTCATCATTTCTTTTTCGATGAGGGCAATATCTTTTGATATAGCCAAACTCATAACAACCAAAACACTGGATTCCATCCTTTCTCTTGGCCTTTGAACCACTTGCCTTAGATTCATTGCCAAAATTTTTCTTTTTTATTCTCACCTTGAACAATTAACACAGTTTCTTGTGTTACATCTTGGATTGCCTTCTTTTGTTCTTCATGATCCAACGAAAATGACTGCACATTCTCGAACTCTAAAGTGTCTTCTTCTACAACAAGGTCGTCACGATACTTTTGTAAGAATCAGAGACTGAGGTAAGAAGTAAAAGGGTCTTATCTTCTTCCTCAATTTCTACACCAACTCTTTGAAGTTGATCCAAAATTTCATTGAAGATATTCATGTGATCCTTGAGGATGCCACCCTCCTCCATCTTTAGCATATAAAGTTGCCACTCCAGGTGCAGTTTATTGGATAAGCTTTTAGCCAGATAAAGGTTTTCCAATTTTAGAGGTCTGCTACAGAACCTTTATTGTCTATCACATTATTTTTAATGTTGTCCGTAACATAGAGATGAATCGTGCTTGCACACCTTGCATCTAACTCTTCAAATTCATCATCCTTCATACTCTCCGACTTCTTGTTTTTATCATTCACCGCTTTTGCCAAGTCTTGTTGAACTAGAACATCTTTCACTCTTCTTTGTCAAAGAGTGAAACTTGTAGTTCCATTAAACAGTTGAATCAGAAACTGTATAGTTCCAATCTCAAATTGTTAATACCACTTGTTAGAATATCAGGTCAACTATTTGAGATAGAAAAAGAAAAAAAAATTAACAGAAAATAATAACTAGCATGAACGATGAGTAACGCACAATAATTAATAGGGTTCGACGTAGTTACCAAACCTACGTTCACGGAGAGAAAAACATGTTCTTACTATGAGAAAAATATTACAAGAATACAACTTGATTCCCAAACCCAACTCTTGCATAACCCTTTCACCTACTAAGAACTCTCTCACCCCTTTTCTTGTGTGTCTTTGTAGAATGGCAATCTACATATTTATAGAAAACATTACTTGGTCAAAAAATTAAATAATAATAGGAAACCAATACTAATTCCTAGATTTATACAAAATAGGAAATAACTTCTAAATGCTAAACAAAATAAGAAATTTCTTGACTACTACTTTAAATAACTAAAACCAAATAGAAAGCTATTTACTTTCACACAAAATAAGAATTTTGACTAAAAGAAATTAAATCAATTTCCAAACAAAGTATATAATGACCTTTCATACGTATCACCAATGAAAGGTTACCAAAACAAATTAGTTCAATTAGTGAAAATATATCATTTTTTCACAAAAGATCATGCGTTCCAACCCACTAATTTTTTTCACTTGTGTGTCTTTGTAGAATGCCAATCTACATATTTATAGAAAACATTACTTGGTCAAAAAATTAAATAACAATAGGAAACCAATGCTAATTCCTAGATTTATACAAAATAGGAAATAACTTCTAAATGCTAAACAAAATAAGAAATTTCTTGACTACTACCTTAAATAACTAAAACCAAATAGAAAGCTATTTACTTTCACACAAAATAAGAATTTTGACTAAAAGAAATTAAATCAATTTCCTAACAAAGTATATAATGACCTTTCATGCGCATCACCAATGAAAGGTTACCAAAACAAATTAGTTCAATTAGTGAAAATAGATCATTTTTTTCACAAAAGATCATGCGTTCCAACCCACTAATGATACGAAGAAACATGGCTTGCGTAAATCATTTGGATAAAAAATACAAAATTAGAGTATAAGAAAATCTACCATTTGGAGAGTCGTGATTTTGACACAGAAGACCTGCTATTTTTAACTGCCAACTGTAGCTCCAAGACAAAATCCAACGCAGCTTTCTTCCTTCTCAATGATCACCTACGCTTGAAAGTAAGTATAGAAGTAACTAATAATTTTGAAGAAGTAGAAGAAAAGAGAATTAAGAGTAAGTAATTTTATATGTTCAGTCTTCACATATGTCCAATACCTATATATGGCTGCAGTTATGGTGACCAAAAACCACAAAATAAGTATTTAGTTCCTTACTAGAAACTTGAGATAGCGATTTAAACGTATGACAGCTTGTTAAGTTGAGCAAACTATGCTCTATGATGAAGTCTAATAACAGATTTTAACATATTAGTGATGATACTTATCCAAGTAAAAGAAATTAAAGGAATATGTGGTACTTAAACCACCCCCTTTCTCTTACTTCCTTTCATTTTATTCCTAGTTAGATCCATGAATGGACTCTAGGGCTTTGACACGAAATCATATAGTTTCCCTTTCTGAACTTTCCTACATATACATAAAGTAGTTAAAGGTTGACTAAGCTTTGAAATTTAGTAACAATATTTTGCACGTGAAATTTAGGAATGCGCGTAAAATACACTTTACTTCTTTATGGTTTAGTGCTTTTTCACATAACTTTCTTATATATAAATCCCTCGTAATTTGAACTAAAGTGTCAAAGTTACAGAATTTTGCATTCCATAATAAAGTCAACTAAAATGTCAAAAGTACCTCTTTGAAAAGTTTGAAGTTATTAATTAACCATACGGGGTTATGTATATATTTTAAAAACTATAAGAGAATTATGTGATAAAATACTAAACTATAAGAGGGTTATGTAGTAAAACATAAAACCATAAAAGTTAAAGTATCATGCATATTAAGTTTATATATTTTGGTTACTTCAATCATTTTAGTTTTTAAATAAGGATATTCTTGACATTTCCTTGGGTTTTATCACAGAGGATCATTTTTATCATATTGACACTTTAGTCTATAACTTTTGAAACTACGGAGAGCTTATATGAAAAACTGGTAAATCACATGGCGGTAAAATGTATTTTATCCTTAGGAATGTGATCACTTAGGATATAGACTGTTTTCTTAATGAAATTCATGCAAAATGGACACTAGAAATTATGACAGGATTTCAGATGTTTTTATTAAAAAATTCTAAGAGAGTTCATGCTTTGCTGATCAAGGTACACAAGAACAATAGTGGTAGGTTTCTTGAAATTTTGAAACTTGTAGGTTGTGCTATGTTCTCTTCACATGCAAATTTAAAAGAGTTCATTCAGAATGGTGCAGATTCAGTTGGAGAGAGGACTCACAAAAAAAAAGTGTTATTGGCTGCTGATTTGCATCCATATATGGTCATCATCAGGTACTATGACAATTTTTTATTCAAAATAAGTTTATGCATTTTAGACTTTATCGATGAAAGATGTACTTGAAGCACTTTGAGCTAAGATATGCAATATATTACTCGAAATGTTTTGGTATATATGTTGTGCATATATGTGTGTGTGTGTATATATATATATATATCCATAGATGCCATTGTGGCTCCAAGTTGATCCCAAGCTAGAATCTGTAACATTTTTAACAAGTTAACATGTATGAAGACTTCTATATTGATTGTTCTATGAAGGGCCAAAGCTATAGTTATTAAACATTCACCAAATTGCAAGAACCATATCTGACGATGCCGTCTTGTACGTTTCTTTCAAGCCTTGTCAGAAGATATCCCTCTACTCCTAATATAGTTCTACATCCATGATCATAGAAGTATTCAAACTCTATACAAGTTTTCCATGTAGTATCCAACAGTTATCGAGTCTAATGTTCTAGGCAAACTATGCAAACTATGCTCAGTAACAGATTCTTTGCTTCTTCTGAATATGATTCCCCTCAAAAGCTGCTGTTCGTTTTCTTCTTGAGAACCATTTTGAGACTGTAAACAATAAGGTCCAACTCTTCTTCCGGTCATTGGCAGCACCAGCCTCAGGTCTCATAAACCTGGCAGCAAGGTCTGGGCTTTCGTGGCTGGTACATGATCCCACACCAGGGTCTTCGTCTAGCCAGTTTTTAAGTTCATCGAAGTCGATATCTGGACTATCGCTTGGGGAAAAAGATTCCAGACCCTGTGAACTTGAATGCAACCTATTCATGATCTCCACATTATCAGTATGATTAGTATTACGACTTTCAACTTTACCAAAACTAGTGTGATGGATAGAAGAAAGGGTACATTCAAAAGAGTTGTTCAAGATTGTAGGATCACATTCACCCATTTCAGTGGCCACAGTATCTTGGCCCCTAAAATGTTCTAGCCTTGGAGAACTTAGAAGTTCCACAATATTAGATGAGGGAGAAATGATCTGCAGAAGAGGATCTCCAACATCAAAAGAGACTCCTTTGTCTTCATCTCCAGATGCTACTGACACATTGCAAGCATCAGCCTGACAACATATGTTCAAAAGCTAGCATAAACTAGAAGTATAACAAGTGGGAAAGAAAAGAGAGAAAGAATGTGAAATTGGTTTTTATAAAATATTCTGTGGTCTCTTCTGGTAGATTGTATAACATAGTTACACATACTAGTGGAGGAACCTGTCCAACTATATTATCAGGTATGCATGCTTGAGCGTGGTTCATTGTGGCCTCCCACTTCTTTGCAGGTAGACCTACTAGCTGTCAGTTCATTACAAAATAACATATATTAATTCTAAAATACAGATTAAGAACTTTTCAACAATTCACAAGATCTTGAACTTTCATATTATCCACTCAACTAGTATTAGTTTTGAGGAAGCATCAAGCAGAAGAGTTATTTCAGTAATTTAGTATGGTCATGCATTTCTTTTTGGGCATTTATTTGCTATCTTAACATTATCCTAGGCAACACATACCTTATGGATAACCAATTAGTGTAAGAAGTAGTAGAGTTTCATGCTAGAGAGCAGCTCTCATTTTCAGTGATAAGGACAAATCAGATATAAAAGCTGGTGGCATAGCTACATAGACAAGTATTAGTCTCCTTAAGAATATACAAACGCATTAGAGGAAAATGATAAGAGTTTTAGGTAAGTAAAGTTTTACTAGTTGACATAGCCATAATGCTATAAATAGTATGTTTAAACCGGCCATGTTGAACAAGAATATACGGTGAATGATGTATGCACCCAATAACTTGCTGCAGAGTGCCCGTATAAATTAAGTAAAGGAGTGAACTTTACGCATTTGAGTTCTTCAACGTCTTCTAAGAGTCTAGTCTGGAAATCCTTCACATAGTTCACGTTTGCCCCCTTCAAACGATCATGGATAGGTCCACCTTTCCCAATGTTCTCTAACCGCCAAACCTCATCAGATGCAGAAGGGGGGTGATGCTTCTGGTTATCTGCAGAAATAGCATTTAGTAGACGTAGAATTTCTTATACTCTTCATCAAAGTTTTCTATTTGTTTGATTTGCATAACAGGATAGTTCTCAAGATGCTAGATCCTTTTATGTCCTGTTTTTCAGCAGAAGATATACCTCATATGTCAAAGAATACAGAAGTGCCAGAGAACAAATATATTTCCAATTTAGAACTGATTTACAAGTATCAGCTAAAAAATATGCCACCAGAAAAGCTTTAAAATAAGCTTTGTTTTCAAGTAAAAAATGGAATTCACAAATCCTCTAGGAAATCAAAAAGCAATCCAATAGGCTTTGTCAATCTCTGTCATACATTTATAAGCATTCTACGACTGTCATGATTCTCAACCATCTTTTTGTTTCCTTTCAACAACTAAAACTTTATCTATTCTACAGTATTTCACCTGATTTCGGTCTCTTTTGGTGCTAATCTCAAGTTAGAACCTCACTTCATGCCTCGTTCATTCATCTTTTGGCCCTTATATCGACATCTCGGATCAGCTTTTACAATTAATAATACCAAGTCCACAGTGCCTATTTACTTTGATCTCAAAGTAGTTCTCTATTATAATGGCATTCAATCCTTTGACAATAACTAATTTGAATTGGGTAAAATGACACAGTAAAGGGAAAAAAGACTGGGATCACTTACATTTTTTGCGATAGTCATTGACTTGGAAAGATTTTGTCTTCGCTTCTAGTACTTGACCGCCATCAAAAGTATCAACAACCCAAGCCCCTAGCTTGAAGATGCCACCATTATAGCGTTTAGAACTTCTAAACTTAACATCAGATAAAGACACATTTCCTTTATTCAATTTTAGTTGCAACTTTCCTGTAAGAACAGATCTTTTTCCTTCCTTATCTCGAGCAATTTTACTTTGAAACTCTTCAGTTGTCCAAGCATCTCCTTCATCATCATCTAGATCTCCCTCAAGAGCAACTATTTCCACTTGAGCAGAGGCTTCCCGTACAGAGTCAACAATTGCTCCTGTACAATTATCAATCAGAGACAGTTGCAAATTGTTACCTCCTTCTCCTTTGATTTGCTCTCCAGTTAGAATAGGAACAGAGATATTGCTGTTGAATTTTAACTTCATGCATCTTTGTTTGGTGTCCTGTATTGTCTTCTCAAGATTACTGGACAAGAAGCATAGACATGTTTGAGCTGTTATACTTACATAGATAATGTAAATAAGAAAACACCGAACAACTATCATGTACTTCCAAATGGAGCTTTGAGTTTGCTTCTTACCTCCTACATCTAACCAAAAGCTTCTCCACAACCACTTCAAGTTTCTGTACCGTTTGACCAATGGCAAGCTACAATTGACGCAAGAAGCATAAATCAAAACCAAAAACACCTCAATATATTCATAAATCCATTGGCAAAGTTCATATTTGGGATTTATTAAATCTCATACAAAGAAGGTACAGAGGTGAAAGGCTCATGTGCATGGTTCGCCATCAGGGGTTGCGGTCGCAGTTATTTCACGTCCATCATGGCATATCAATTAAATATCGGGTGATACGCAAGTTAGAGCATATAAGACTTTTTAAAAATATTTAAAAAATTACTAAAAATAAAAATAACCAGTACAACTATCAAATTAAAGTTGATAAAACCTATGTTAACATAAATACTAGGTAAGTATTTAAAGAAAGTGATGCTGCTCTAATTATTGATTTATAGTATTAAAAGCAAATGATTTTTGTAAATATAGGGGAAATTTGCTACTGATTCATAGTCATAGGGGGCACTTTGTAATTAAGTCTAAAACTAATCCCCACATAAAAACAACCTCGTCTTCCCTTCCACCCGAAAAAAGGTTCTCATCTTTTCCAATTGATCCGTATCTCTTCCTTTCCTGCAGATCCATTGGAATGGATTTCCCTAACTCTACTTTTCCATCCATTTACTATCCTCCTCAAAACCCACTTTCCCACTCTAGTTGTGGGTGTTCACTATTGCAGTGGTTGAGAAGTTGATTCACTAGAAATCCGAGCCCAAGTAGCAACACTTGTAAGACGAATCCGAGAACCAGAAAAATTTTGCAAAATGGCCTCGAGTACAAAAGGATCTTGGATATATCAGTAGAGATTGATGAGAAAACTTGATTACCAACTAGAGTTGGCATTCTCTGAAGTCCAGGTGATGAAATATTTGTTCAGAATACTCGCTTCTTTAGCAGTTAGGGAGGGAGAATTTGTCAAAACTCAAAACTAAACTCTCTTCCCTATCTATGTCTATGCTACTCTATTGTTTTTTTTTTTTTTTTTTTACTCTGCTTGTGGTTGATTTGTTTGTTGTCCGACTCGGGACTTTGGTTATCTAACTCGCGATTTGACTTGGCCAAACTTGGCGAGTTCTACCGATTTCTTGTCGATTTGAGTTGACTTGATCAATATCGGTCGAATCAACCCAAGTCAATTCCGATCCCAGTGGAATGGCAATTCAGGTGTCTCATGTGTTGGTATCGTATTGATGCGTTCCGTTCCAATTATGACTCGAACGAGTCAACTCGGAATCGGCCGATAGGGTGAACCATGCTCATGTGCTCACATGACAGCAAAATTTTGAGGGAAAATAAATATACTCCATGAGCAGATATGAGAAGAATATTCACCAATAAAGAAAAGCAGAAGTATCTTTGATCTCCCAGAAAGAAGAAACAATATTGCTTTTTCATTTGCTAATATCTTGTTTTCGGTAATAACGGAATCTATATGATATGCAAAGACTTCAACAACAGATGATAAGTATAAATAAACATGAAGTCTCCAGCGTAAATGGGTGGTATAAATATTTGGATACTGCTATTGGGATTTCAAATAAGAAAAAATGAAATAAAAGAGACAGAAAATAAGTAGCTATTCAGTAAGTGATTCTCTTCATTTTTTGGGGGAATAGTCTTCAGTTTTTAGCAACTATTGTCTATTGGAAGCATTATATATTCCTTTTAAGTTTTACCAAAGATATCAATTAAAGTTAAAAAGTAAAGAAAAAAGAAAAGGGAAACAAACGTTCATAACTTTATTGGGGTAAAAACCAGACAGCTGAGAACAAGAAACTACCTGCAACCCAAACCAATTCATGAAATCACTACCATATGAAAGTCATAAGCTTTTTGATCACAAGGTGCAGCTAATTAATTTGATCTTGGCCAAGTTCAAACTTACAATTCTTTGATTAATTTTCTCGAATCTTTGCTCCACTAGGCTGATCATACTGTTCAATTTCTGATTCACCATATCCTCAAGTTCTTCCATCCGATCAATTTTACTGCAAAATCCCAGAACAAACATAAATTCACAGGCATGGCCACAATACTTGGAAAAAATTCAGTACTAAACAAAATTCATCAACAATAATTTAAGAAAATCTGAATTTTACTCACCTGTTTGAACTCATAACCATCAACCCCTCGCAACCTGAATAGTTTCCTTCCCCTGATCCAAGCTTGCTGCTTTCTTCAGTGTGCCAAACCTGTTGCATTCTTCTCACTCTTTTTTTTTCTGCTTTCGATGAATCTATCAAGGAATCCAAACAAAACCCAGATGTGATCGTTACAGAAATTCTCAAAATCAGAAGAAAATCAAAACCTCTCACAATTTCAAGAATATCAGAAGAAATCTGCCTTCCTGACTTGCTGGGCTGTTATGGCATAAAAAAGTTTCCTTTTTTAAGCAAACAATTGCGGAAATGATGATTCAGTTATCCCATTTGACTTGTATATATAGATACCAAATGAGGTACAGACCAAAGGCCGTGTCGTTGTGGAAAAATCATTAAAACTGTCAGCACTTCAACTGCCACAAAATCTATGTTCCAGTGTCCTGTGCTACTGTCCCTTACGTGTCTCTCTGCAGTGTTGATCCTTGGTTTTAGTACGTTATCTCCTAGAAATTAGTCAGAAACTGAACTCAACTCTAAGGAGATTTGACAAGCAAAAGATTCGTTTGGACTTGGGAGATAAGTCTATTTGGAATTTCGGCTAACCTTCTTGAGGTACTAGTTAACCACCGACGAATTTGGAATTTCAACCCTCAACTTCTTGTAGCCCGTCATTGATGATTAGGATTTATTGTGTGCTGATTAAATAGAGATTAGTTTAGTTTCGATTAAGGCTTAGGAGTGAATGTAGCCCACCATTCATGATTAGGATTTGTTGTCTTCTGATTACGTAGAGATTAGTTTAGTTTTATTTAAGATAGATTTAATTTTTTAAAGGAAATTTGCCCACACTATATTGCTGCCGTGTACGCAACAATTCCCAATTCCCTCCAAGATTACACAGCCAAACTAGAGTTTTTCTACTGCGAAATAAAGAAACTCTCCTGAATTAGAAATTTTCTGTTTTCATCAAAGGAGAAGGAGAATGAAAAGTGCAACTTGTATCCTGGATGTCTCAATCTAATATTTAATTAACTGTTAATTGAAACAAAATATTAACTTAAGATCCAAATACTAATCTTTTGACCACTAACCAATATATACTAATCTAATAGTCAAGCAAGACAAATGCAAGTGAAATTTTGAAATTTCGTTTCATAATTATTTTTGACCATCAAAATTTATTATTGGAATGTAAAATACTATAAACCTTTTCATCTTCACACACTTTTCAATGTAGGATCATCACTTACTGTATCCGATATTCTGTAGAACAATCACACTTGTCTGATGATTATGTACAGATCAATTTAGTTAACTCTAATAAGAGTTATATATATATATCATACTAGAAAGAATATGCTAATCAAAACCCTTATGGATTAAGATCCCTTCCCTTTTGCTAGGTATCAAGAACTTATTGATGAAAATGTAAATGAAAAAGAAGCTATTTGATTTTTATTACTCCAGAGCTTGAAAGTAATATCTTTTTCTTTCCTTTTGCCTTTTCTTATATGATAGATATGATATTAAAGGAATAGCTTGCTAAATAATGCTGCAGAAAATTGCAAGATTTCTTACAGAAATTAGAGAACCTGAGATTTATTAGACAACTAGTGAGACGGCCTGCACGTTGCCTAGGAGTGCTAATATTTTCTATGTTAAGTTGCTTAACTTTTAGCTGTTATATATTTCTTATAATGTAGAGAATTATATAATTATTATAAGTCTTGCTTGAATTATAAAATCATAGTGCAGTAAATTGGTTGGGTGAATATAGTGTTAATAGTTTTTGAAGTATGGAGGATATTTGGTAATATAATGGTTAATAAAATACTATAATTGGGACAATATAGTGTCGACATTTTGTGTGGTATGATTTATATAAATTATGTAGTTTGAGTGAGGCAATTATAAAAATACCCGTCTATATTTATGTATATCTCTATTACTCACTAAGTTCCATAAATATGGGCCTATTTCCTTTTTTTTTTTTTTTGCACACATTAAAACATTTAATCAATATAATCACAACAATTATTTTTCTTTCATATTTTTGTAAAATGTCGCTCACTAATATTAGATCATTAATACACATTAAGAGCCATGTATTATTACATTGTTTTTGAAATTTACAGTACTTTAATTTTTTTAATGTAAGAGCCTCAAAGTTGCTGAAAATTACTTTATAACCGATTGACAAAAAATTGACTGTTCATTGCCCAACATGATAAGCAGTAGTATTGTCGCACAACTGACAGGTATCGAAGCCGCTCAAGCCTTCCCAACTCTGGAACAAGATTGCCCGACAGCTTTGCCGAAAATGGGGAGAGAGATGGAGGAATAGGGCCGGTGAGATTGTTTCTTACATTTGCCCTCAAAGTTGCTGAAAATTACTACCTTATAACCGCTTGACAAATCCCAACTCTGGAACAAGATTGCCGGACAACTTTGCTGAAAATGGGGAGAGAGACGGAGGAATAGGGCCGGTGAGTTGTTTCTTACATTTGCCCTCAAAGTTGCTGAAAATTACTTTATAACCGATTGACAAAAAATTGACTGTTCATTGCCCAACTCCCGCTTTTATATGGTTAGATAGATATGGACACTTTACTCAAGACACAGTTGTAATGGTGTGGTCAATCGTTTTTGGAATATATATAAATAAAAAAATTAGGACGGCATGAGGTAACTTCTTGTAAAGATCCAAGGTAGACTTTGTCAAAACCTTTCACATGATGTGGAAACAAAAATGACATCGTCTGAAAAATACAAGAGTGGCTTTATCATTTGATTTTTGAATTGTAGTGGAGCCCGTTGAGTTACAAGAACTTTCCATGGAACCTACAAACTCACATAAAAGTATTACCCAGAGTTCATGTGCCAATAGTGAGGTATACACTACATAGCATAGTTATTAAATTCCACCCGATCCCGCAGTTGAATCGGTCAATCTGATGATCCAAGCATCAAATCAGGCTGTCTCCAATTTGATTGGACAAGCAATTGATCTGGTTAAATCCGTTTGATCCAACGGTTCAATTAGGAACCCGCTCAATTTTTCAATTAAATCTGTTTATCTTCTTTTTTTATATATATAATTGTGGGTCTTTCTTTTTTAAACAAAATGTGTATATGCTTTTGATAAGTTTTGTACATTGGATCTTCATTTAAATATTTATAAGACTTTACCATTTGCTTAGTTTTTATTTGATAACTAAATAATTTTTTAATAAACTTTTTTTATTTTTTGTTATACAATTAGTCCTAATAACTCTTAAATTGACAATATTTGAAATTACTTTGTTTTTAAACCAAAAATAAAAAATGAAAAAATAATACTATATTTTTTAAAACAAGCAATATAAATTTTGTTTTATACTTGATTATATTATTTATTTATTTAAAAGTATGATAAAATGAAGTTAAATCTTCTATTAATGTCTATATATTTATTATATATCTTTTTAAGTATAATAATTAGTATCTAAAAGCACTTTATTATAAATTCTATGTATATTAAAATTACTATTTTATATTTATAAATATTAAATTAATACTCGCCGGTTCAACCAGTGACCCACTAGTTAAATCAGTGTTCCATTGACCCAATCCCTATGCTGGATTCCTTACTGGGTTGGGTTTAATAAATATGCTATATACACTAAAAAGCTAATTTTCATAAGTATTTCATAAAATATAGTGTTATGCACCTTTACTTGATACATGCGTCGAATTAATCCATAATTACTTACCAATTTACTTTGCCCCAACACCTTTAAGTGATTCTCGAGACTTAACTCTTTTCTTTTTTTGGAAACTTGAAGGAATTAATGCTTAACATAACTTGAATTTCATTTGACTTTTATCCAATTTACATTTTTTTTTCAATAGCGGAGGCATAGGATTTAAAAACACAAGGAGAGGGACGGAGGAATTTCACATATGTCAAATAAAATGATAGCAATATATCTTGGACTAACTTTTCTTTTTTTGGTATGAGCACGTAAAACCGTGATACATGATTTCTATTCATGTTTATAATATATCTTCTGCGCATAGAGCACACATCAATCCCCATTCAGTGTAAAGATTTTTTTTTTTTCATTAATTAAAGGTTTTTAATTGTTTTTCTATGGTACCACGCGAAGGCGGCTGTAGCCGGCCAGGCGGGTCAAGTGGTAAGAAGTGGATGAATTGGCCTCTACAAAAAAAAATCATCAGTCAAAACGGACTTCACAGTGCTTAATCACTTACTTTTATTTTTGTTAACAATAATCAATCACTTAATTTTTTTTTTGCTTAATTTTTGTATTATCAGCTTTTGGGTATTGTATTATTGTTTACCCATCATTTTTCCACCCAAATTTCCCCTCAAGTTCTGTATTCTCAACTTTTGAGTGTTTTATTTTCGTTAACAAGAATTAATCATCCATTTTTTCTTAATCTTCGTATTGTCAACTTTTTAGTGTATTTTTGTCAACAAGAATGAATCAATCCCATCTTTTTCTGTTCATTTTTTATCCTTATTTTTCATATTATCAAATTTTGAGTGTTCTAAAAAAAAAGTAATCAAACCCATCTTTTTTTGACCCATTTTTCTTTAATTTTCATATTTATTGTTTCTAATATTTCATTCGGACAGACTTTAAGTGTTTTAGTTTTGGTAATAATTTAAGAGTTTTATTGTTGTTAACAAGAGTCAATCCCTTATATTGCCACCCACTTTTTCTCCTTAATTTTAGTATAAATTGTGTTTAATATTTAATTTAGCCTTCTTTGGGAGTGTTTTTATTTTGATAATAATTTTGAGCGTTAGCTTCTAAATTTTTTTATATTTGTTAACAAGAATCATGCCTATCTTTTTCCACCATTTTACCCCCTTAAATTTTGTAATTATTGTGTTTAACATAATTCAGTTTGAGCAAATTCTTAGCAATTTACATTGGAAATAACTTAACTTTTAAGTGTTTTATTTTCATCAACAATAGCTAGCTGATGCCTAAAAGGATTAAAATATCTCCAACACTTACACATAATATGATTTATAATTTTTAAAATTTTAAATTTATCAAATTTTTTAATAAACTGGATGTAATCCTGTTCAAGAAATAGGTTAAGAACTAGTATTTATATAATGTAAAGCACTCAAATACATACCTATCTATCTGTCTGTACTCTTTATAAAAGTACAGCGGGTCTAGGTAAATTAAATTAGAGTGTAAGAAGGACAAAATTTCATATAAGGTAAAATGGTTATAAAAATCAGCTTTTTAACTTTTTTTTTTTAAGGACACCTATGTATTTATTAAAATGACTTTTTAGCAGTAAACAAGAACACATGAGTTATTCTAAATAATCTAATTTTCAAGAATCAATTTTACAAAAACAGAATCTGTTGAGAACGGGCCCTTAATTTTCTATTATGCTCAAGATATCCGTCTCCCTAATTATTAAATTTATTGCACTCTAATGGTAGTCAATAACTATAGCACTCGTGAAGAAATAAATTGAAAACTTAATTAAATTTGAATTATGAAGACTGTAAACAAAATTAAGCACTCCAATCTAATATGTCTCTTTGCATTCCATCTTCATTTTTATTTCAATCTAAAATTTTTGATTAGTCACAATATAATTCAACTTAAAATCCATAAAAAAGAAATTACACCATAGCTAATAACTGGAATTGCATTTGTAACGCCAACCAAACAGATGTTGTTAACGGTATCCTTTTACTTCTTTCGCCTTAGATTTTCTTGCGACCAACCTTATTATAGAAGAAGACCATCTCAGGACAGTGAGTGGCATTTTCCATCTACTCTGACCTCTAGGAGGCGGATGCCCACTAACAGCAGTATGCAGATCAGTGGATGGCCCCAAACTTGAAGAATCAACAATTTGTAGGTGCTCATCCTGGTAGAAAGCTGGAGTCATGGAGCCTATGTCACACATCACGCTGTCCGTCACTTGGCCAGGAATGTTCAATGGGTGGTCAAATATAAACTCCATAGAGTCCACAATGGGAAAGTCAGATACATCCAGGCCGGTTAAAACCCCAGGTGAATCCATGGATGGCATGATATTACCATCGAAAGGGATTCCTTTGTCTTGATGTGCAGATGCTACTAACATATTGCAAGCATCACCCTGTCAATACAGATTCATAAACTGCCATAAGATTGAGGTACAACAAATGGAAAAGGAAAAGAAAGAGAAAGTGAAATTGGTTTTTATGAAGTATTCTGTACTCTCTTCTGGTAGATTATATAACATAGTTACACATACTGGTGCAGGGGCAGGAACCTGTCCAACTATATTATCAGGTTTGCATGTTTGAGCGTGTCTCACTGTGTCCTCCCACTTCGGTTCAGGTAGACGTACTAGCTGTCAGTTGTACAAAATAACATGCATTAATTCTAAAATGCAGAGTAAGAAACTTTCCAACTATTCACAAGATCTCGAACTTCATCCACTCAACTATTGTTAGGTTAGCTTACAAAAAAACAATAACTAGCATTAGGTTTGAAGGAAAGAAAAAGGGGTCCAGCATCTAGCTGAAGTGTTATTACAGTAGCATTTCTTTTTGGGCATTTATTTGCTATCTTAACATTATCCTAGACAGCACATACCTTGTAGATTACCAATAAGTAGTAGCAGAGTTTCATGCGAGAGAGCAGCTCTCATTTTCAGTGATTAAGGACAAATCAGATATAAAAGCTGGTGGCAAAAGAGGACAGTGATAGAGTTTTAGGTATGTAAAGTTTTCCCACATCGGGGTTGGGGTTGGGTTTGGGTTGGGATATAAGTCCCTGGGATTGCCTCAAGAGTTGCCGGCTTTTGAGGTTAATTCTGGGATTAGGTTTATAAAACAACAAAAGTCTGATTCAGGCTGTTGAAAAAAGACAAAGTCATAATGCTATAAATAGTATGTTTAAACTGGTCATGTTGAACAAGAAGATATGGTGAATCATGTATGCACCCAATAATTTGTTGCAGAGTGCCTGTATAAATTAAGTAAAGGAATGAACTTTACGCGTTTGAGCTCTTGCGGGTCTTTTGAGAGTCCAGTCAGGAAATCCTTCACATAGTTCACCTTTTCCCTCTTCAGACGTTTATGGGTAGCACCATTTTTCCAAATGTTATTTAACCGCCAAACCTCATCAGATGGAGATGGGGGGTAATGCTTCTGGTTATCTGCAGAAACAGCATTTAGCAGATGCAGAAGTTCTTATACTCGTCATCCAAGTTTTCTATTTGTTTGATTTGCATAACAGGATAGTTCTCAAGATGCTAGATCGTTTATGTCCTGTTTTTCAGCAGAAGATACACCTCATACGTCAAAGAATACAGAAGTGCCAGAGAACAAATATTTTTCCAATTTAGAACTGAGTTACAAGTATCAGCTAAAAAATATGCCACCAGAAAAACTTACAATATTGCTTTGTTTTCAGGAAAAAAAATGGAATTCACAAATCCTCTAGGAAATCAAAAAGCAATCCAATAGGTCTTTGTCAATCCCTGTCATACATTTATAGGCATTCTCCAATTGTCATGATTCTCAACCCTATTTTCATTTCCTTTCGGTTAGGAAATTGGTTTAATTTCTTTTAAACAAATTTCTTGTTTTGTGTGGAAGTAACTAGTTTTCTAATTGGTTTTAATTATTTGAAATAGTAGTCAAGAAATTTCCTATTTTGTTTAGGATTAGAAGTTATTTCCTATTCTATGCAAGTTTAGGAATTAGAATTGGTTTCCTGTTGTTATTTGGGTTTTGGTCAAATAATATTCTCTATAAATAGGTGGGTTGGCATGCTACAAAGAGACACACAAAGCCACACAAGGACAACATGTAGCCTTATACATGAAATGAGAGAGGGTTCTTGGAAGATGAGAGATGGTATACAAAGGTTGAACTTGGATTCAAGTTGTATTCTTGTATAGGATTTTCCTCTCATAATAAAGAATGAGTTTCTCTCTGTAGACGTAGGCTAAATGGTGGAGTCGAACCATGTTAAATATTGTGTATCGTCTATCTTTTATACTTGTGACTTGTTTGCTATTAAATTGTTGTGTACTTGATATTTCAATAATTATTTGTTCCACGCTTGGATCCTAACACTTTCAACAACTAAAAACTTTATCTCTTCTACAGTATTTCATTTGATTTTGGTCTCTTCTGGTGTTAATCTCAAGTGACAACCTAACTTCAGGCCTCATTAATTCATCTTCTGACTCTTATATCAACATCTCAGATCAGTTTTTACAAGAAATAATGCCTTGTCCACCGTGCCTATTTACTTTTATCTTAAAGCAGTTTTCTAGTATATTGGCAGCCATTCCTTTGACAATGATTCATTTGAATTGGGTAAAATGACATAGTAGAGAGAGAAAAAAAGAAAAAAAAAAAGGAGAAAAAAGGACTAGGATCTCTTACATTTAATGCGAAAGTCATGGACTTTGAAAGAATTTGTCTTCGCTTCTTTTACTGGACTGCCATCAAAAGTATCAACAACCCAAGCCCCTAGCTTGAAGGTGCCGCCGTTATAGTGTCGAGAACTTTTAAACATAACATCAGACAAAGACACAATCCCTTTATTCAATTCCAGTTGCAAATTTCCTGCGAGAACAGATTGTTTTCTTCTCCTGTCTCGAGCAATTTTACTTTGAAACTGTTCAGCTGTCCAAGCATCTCCTTTATCATCTCCCTTGAGAGCAACTATTTCTACTTTAGCAGAGGCTTCTCGTCCAAAGTCAACAACTGCTCCTGTACAATTATCAATCAGAGACAGTTGCAAATTGCTACCTCCTTCTCCTTTGATTTGCTCTCCAGTTCGAATAGGAACAGAGATATTGCTGTTGAATTTTAACTTCATGCATCTTTGTTTGGTGTCCTGTATTATCTTCTCAAGATTACTGGACAAGAAGCATAGACATGTTTGAGTTGTGATACTTGCATGGATAATGTAAATAAGAAAACACTATACAACTATCATGTGCCAGGAAAATTCAAAATGGTGCTTTGAGTTTGCTTCTTACCTCGTACTACTAACCAAAAGCTTCTCCACAGCCACTTCATGTTCATCTATGTTTTGATCAATGCCAAGCTTCAATTGATGCAAGAAGCATAAATCAGAACCAGAAGCATCTCAGTATTAACATACATCCATTGGCAGAGTTCATATTTGGGATTTTATTGGACCTCAGACGAACAAGATACAAAGGTGAAAAGCTCTTCTGCTCACATGGCAACAAAATTTTTTGGGGAAATAAATATACTTCCATGAGTAGATATAAGAAGAATATTCATCAAGCAAGAAAGCAAAAATTTCTTTGATTTGCCAGAAAGAAGAAATAATCTTGCTTTTTCGATTTGCTGGAAAATTTTCTTGTTTTTGGCAATAACGAAGAAATCTATAGCATATGCAAAGACTTCACCAACAGATGACAAGTACAGACCAACATGGAGCATAATAAGTAGTACAAGTACTTGGATACTACTACTGGGATTTCAAATGAGAAAAAATGAAATAGAAGAGACAGAAATAATAAGCAGCTAGTCAGCAAGTGGTTCTCTTCATCTTTTAGGTAATAATCTTCAATTTTTAGCGACTATCTATATTGAAGTAATAATTATCCAATTTTTGTTTGTTTCTTACTGCTTCAAGTTCTCTATTCAAGAAATGCACAGATGTACAGAGCTAACTTTGAACTCTTATAAGCATTATACGTTTCTTTTCCAGAGATCTCTGTTAGAGTACAAAAGTAAAGAACGAACAGAAAAGGGCGCAAACGTTCATAACTTTGGTGGGGGAAAAAAAGGCAGACAGCTGAGAACGAGAAAATACCTTCAAATATGCTAAACTCAATTCCAAACCAAATCATGAAATCACTATTATATGCAAATCATATGCTATTTCTACATGATGCAGCTCACAAATATGTTCTTGGCCAAAATCAAACTTACAATGCTTTGATTCATCTCCTCGAATCCTTGCTCCAAAAGGTTCCTTATACTATGAAATTTCTGATTCACCACATCCTCAAGTTCTTCCAACCTATCATTTCAATTGGACAGCAAAAGCCCAGAACGAGCAAAAAATTCACAAGCACAGTACAAAAATTATAACAAAACCTCCTTGAGGTTTCTCTTAATATCACCTGGCACCTTTGACATTTTAGAAATATCATTTACCTCCCTAATAATTGTAAAAAGACTATTAAACCTCACTTGACACATAATTCACAACATATCAAATAAATAGAGCTTAAAAATTGAAAAAAAAATGAAATGTCACTTTCTTCTTTTTCCCTTTTTTGCATCATTCTCTCATACTCATATTTTTTGGATTACCATATAATATTTTATTCGTAAATTATAATAAATTAAATTTTATTTATCTTTTACTTTTTGTGATTGTGATAAAGTGGGGCGTGATCTATTTGCTTAGTTTGAATTAATTTTTATAATGATTGGTACAATTTAATGGTTTGAGCAAGGTTGAGAAGTTGTTGAAAAAAATTATAAATTCATAGGAAATCAATTTTGAGTATATAGAATTAAATTGATGCAAGTGTATTTCTTTTCAAATATCTTTTTTATTTTTCTAATTTATATTTTTATGAGGTATAGCATTGTGATGTGGTAGTACTATAAGAAATTATTTTTGAGGTGATGATTTTCTTAAAGTGAACAAAGTGATTTAGAAATATTTATTTAGCAAGTGAAATGATAGTTTAGGGTTTTTAAAAATTTTGTTACACAAATAACAAAAGTAAGGAAAGTAAGTGATATTTTTGAAACCTTAGGACCACCAAGTGATATTAAGTGAAACCTCCCCTGATATTATCCCTAGAACAAATTTAAGTACTAAAGTATATATATTCATCAATAAAATTAAAGAAAATTTGATCTTCACTCACCTCTTTGAGTACAAAACTGCCAACCCCTCGTAACCGGAACAGCTTCCTTCCTCTGATCCAAGCTTGCTGCTTTCTTCAGTCTGCCAAACCTGTGACATTGTTCTCGCTCTTTTCTTTCTTTCTGCCTTTGGTGAATCTATCAAGGAATCCTAACAAAACCCAGAAACCACTATCATATGCAAATCATAAGCAATTTCTACATGATGCAGCTCGCAAATATGTTCTTGGCCAAAATCAAACTTACAATTCTTTGATTCATCTCCTCGAATCCTTGCTCCAAAAGGTTCCTTATACTGTTGAATTTCTGATTCACCATATCCTTAAGGTCTTCCAACCTATCATTTCAATTAGACAGCAAAAGCCCAGAACGAACAAAAAATTCACAAGCACAGTACAAAAATTAGAGCAAATTTCAGTACCAAACTCTATTCATCAAAAAAATTAAAGAAAATTTGATCTTCACTCACCTCGAGCGCAAAACAGCCAACTCCTCGTAACTAGAACAGTTTCCTTCCTCTGATCCAGGCTTTTTGCTGCTTTCTTCAGTCTGCCAAACCTGTGACATTCTTCTCGCTCCTTTTTTTTTCTGCTTTTGGTGAATATGTCAAGGAATCCAAACAAAACCCAGATGGGGTCGTTATAGAAATTCTCAAAATCAGAAGAAAATCAAAACTTCTCACAATTTCAAGAATATCAGAAGAAGTTTGACTTGCAGGTCTTTTATGGCAAAAGAAAAAGCTTCTTTTCTTTTAAGCAAACAATCGTGGCAATGCTGATTCAGTTTGCTTGTTTGACTTGTATATATAGAGAGACCAAAACAGCTAAAGACAAAAGGCCGTGTCATTGTGGAAAAATCATTAAACTGTCCGTACTTCAACTGCCACGAGGGTTCTGTGCTGCTGTGTGCTGCTGTCTCTTACGCGTCTCTGTACATTGTCGATTTATAATTGGACTGTGTTATGTCCCAGAAATTTGTCGGAAAACTTAACTCAAATCTACCGAGGTTTGAAGAATAAAGGATCACTGGGATTTGGGAGTACATGGAATTTCAGGTAAGCTTCCAAAGGCACTAATTGACCACCGACAAATTTGGAATTTCAACTCCCAACTTGAGGTAGCCCGCCATCGATGAGTACGATTTGATGTTAATTTTAATAAAGAATTGAATATGGATTTCTGTAGTACAAATGAAAAAAAAAATTCTATTATTGGATTATGATCCCTCCTTTTGCTTTCTATTAAGAACTTATTGATGAAAATGCAAAAGAAGGTATTCTATTGGATTTTAACCCGTACTTCAGATCTTTTAACTACTTCTTTCCTTTTGCTTTTTTTTTTTTTAATTAAAATGAAGATATGAAATTAAAGGAATAAAATTGCTAAATAATGATGCAGAAAACTGCAAGATTTCTTTAAGAAATTAGGGATGTGAGATTTATTAGACAGTATAGACACTTTGGAAAGGGAAAAAAAGTATTATTAAAAAATTAGGAAGTGATGAAGTAACTTCTTGCAATGATCCAATGTTGAATTTGTTGAAACCTATCGCCTGATGTGGAAAGTACAACGATGTGATATCATCTGAAAAGTACAAAAGTGGCATAAACATTCGTTGTTTGGACTGAAGCAGTTGAGGTCGTTGAGTTGCATGAATTTCCACGGAACATGCAAATTCACATTAAATATTACTCAGGGGGAATAAAGTGTGCATGTAAAAGAACTTTGGCAATCAACGTTTATGCATATATTTCATGAAGTATTACGCAGTATTTTGTGTTTTGCACCTTAACTTTACACTTGCATCGAATTAATCCATTATTACCTTACCAAGTTACATTGCCCTCAATACTTTTCATTGATTTGTGAGAGACCTTAGTTGTTTTGGACTTGAAGGAATTTGTGATTAACATGGCTGAATTTCACCTGAGCTTTCTTCAATTTACTTATTGTCACATAGGACAAATAAATAATATTATATTTTGGACTAATATTTTTTATATTGTCAGTGTGAACAAATTTTGGCACGAATTGATATAAATTCATTACACATAATTGCTCTTTATGTTGAAAAATTTTGGAATATTATAATGGGAAGAATCAATATTTATATGGAAAGGTTAACTTTTGCATAATTTGGTGCTGGGATGAGGGGTACTGTTCAAAAATGTTTACAAAAGGGAAACAAATGAGAAGCTACATCATATATATATATATATATACATGTGTGTGTGTGTGTGTGTATGTATATATGTATGTGTGTGTGTGTTTGTGTGTTTGTATGTGTGTGTGCGCGCGCGCGCGTGTGTTAGGGTAAAAGCTTTCCGTCTGTACTTCTTTGACTATTTTCCCTTAACTTTTGCATAATCTGGTATTAGGGTAAAGCGTAGTATTAAAAAGGGATAATATCATAAACCTCCCTTGAAGTTTCTCTTAATATCACTTGATCCCTAATAATTGTAAAAAGATCATATTAACCCTCACTTGTTACATAATACATATATCAAATAAATGGAGCTCAAGAAAAAAAAAAAAAAAGAAACAAAAGTCACTTTGTTCTCTTTCTTTTTTCTCCAACATTCTCTCTTACTCATTTTTTGGATGACCATGCAATATTTTATTTGTAAATTATAATAAATTGAATTTTGTTTAGCTTTTATATTTTGTATTGTGATAGAGTGGGTATGATTTATTTGCTTATTTTAAGTCAATTTTTATAATGATCAATACAATTTAAAAGTTTGGACATAATTTGAGAAGAGGTTCAAAAAAAAATATAAAATTCATAAGAAATTAGTTTTGAGCATATAGAGTTAAATTGGTGTAAGTGTACTTCTTTGAAAATATCTTTTTTATTTTTCAAATTTATATTTTTATGATGTGGTAATACTACTAAAGATCGTTTTTTAGGTGATAATTTTTCTAAACTGAACAAAATGATTTAGAAATATTTTTATTTAGCAAGTAAAAGAATAGTTTAGGGTTTTAAAAGTTTTGCTACACAAATAACAAAAGTAAAGGAGATAAGTGATATATTTAAAATCTTAAAGATATCAAGTGATATTAAGAAAAACCTTAAGGGAACTATCTAACATTATCCCTATTAAAAATATTTAAAAAAGGGAAACAAATGAGAAGTCATGTTAGAAACCAAACCGAGTTAACATACCAGTCATCTTGTAGACTTGTACAAATAGCAATATGCTAATCACCGGTTATCAAAAAACGAAAGGGTTGCTTCCTTTTCCAAAACATATACAAGATATTGAGACGAATCATTAATATAGCTAGCACATCCATCATCTACGCTTGTGTTAATGATTCTTGCCATTTATTCAATGTTTTTATCTCTTTTTTTGTTATAAATAAAAGGTTTTAAATCTAAAATCTCTTATTTACAATTCCTTTCACCTTATCGTCCAACATATCTCGCTCTCATGCATTAGTTTTACCTATTTGCCTTTAATTCAATGCCAAGGCGACCGTAAAAAGTTAGACAACGAGCTCAAATTAAATGAAGTAAATGAATCGGGCCTCCGCTATAAAATATCATAAAAAATAAAGGACTGTGACCATATTACTATCCTAAAAATATTTAACCCCAGCTTGAGCTTCAACCCTGTGGACCCTTGGGCTAGAAAGGCACTAAGGTGAAGATAATTATAGTCCACAGTTGTTTATAAATTCACACCCCCACCGAAAAAAGGTGTTTATAAATTCAACGTTACTTGAACAACATTTATCATAAACTTCAAGGTACTTTTATTTCCTTCACAAATTTTTTATAATGTAAAACACGGTGAAATACACATACATGTATATATTTATACTCACATACAAGGTACAGACATGTAAACACAACATTAGCTAATAAAACATGTCTCTAGAAAACTTTCCTTGATTCCAAATTATTTATCTGAAACCAGATGATGTTATATGATATCTGATTAATTAAGCTTAGTTCCCTTCCCTTTCATCAACACTTACAACAAAATTGTTGATAGCAATATCTGAGCTCCCACCATTACAAACTGCCCTTTTAGCTTGCTCTCTCATCTTAGAGGCATTAATCCTAATTTCATCACTTTTTTCTCCAACCATTACCTCCCTTACACACCTCTCAATTTCTTCTCTTGTAACAATCATTTTCTCATCCCTTTTAGCCCTCACTCCTACCCTCCAAACACTTTCAATAAATTTGGCATTTGTTGGCTGATCACTCCATTGTGGCAATGCCACCATAGGCACCCCAAGACTTGCTGCTTCAAGTGTTGAGTTCCAACCACAATGTGTCATGAAGCACCCTACAGATTGGTGAGCCAATACCTCCAGCTGATTACACCACTTCACAATTTTTCCAAATCCCATTTCATCATTTGATTGTAGAAATTCAGTAAGCAACTTTTCTTGCTCAGAGTCTTTGATTACCCAGAGAAAGTGATGGCTGCTGCCTTTTAAGCCACGGGCAATTTCTTCAATTGCTTGATTTCAACATCAGCCATGCTCCCAAATGACACAAAAACCACTGATTTTGGTGCCTTTTCGTCTAACCATTTCAAATAGTGGTCACTTGGCTTCCACAGACTGCCTCCATAATCTGAGTCTCCTGCTATTGGCCCCTCTACATATGCCGATGGTACCATTGGTCCAACCATTTGTACTGGCCAAAGTCCTGTCAAGGCCTTCGCCAACTTTTGGAGCATCAAAACAAAATATAATATATTGTCAATGATAGCAATATTTGGTGCTCGTCAATAATATATTTGCTGTTAACAATATCTTATTACTTCTTTCACTTTAGATTTTCTTGCAACCATCCTTCTTATCGTAAGCCATCTCAAGACACTGAATAGCATTTTCCATCTCCTCTTCGAACGCCTCAGAAAGCAACCAACAGCAGCATTCAGACCAGTGGATGACCCCAAATTTGAAGAATCAAAAAATTGTAGGTGCTCGTCCTCGTACAAAGCTGGAGTCATGGAGTCTATGTCACATATCATGTTGTTCGTGACTTGGCCAGGAATGTTCAATGGGTGGCCAAATATATTCTCCAGAGAGTCCACAATGGGAAAGTCATGTACATCCAGGGGGCTCAAAACCCCAAGTGAATCCATGGATGGCATGATATGAGAACAGGTATTTGGTTCTGGATAATCACATTTGCCGCTCTGATGAGAATTCAGAACCTTGCTGCCGTCGGAAGTAACCAGCATAGGAGGATTTGAGGAGTATTCTATGGTAGACAAGAATAAAGAACCATCCATAAGAGAGGCCTCGTCATCAATTGAAACGACATCAGTCCAGTGCCTGTAAGCAGCAGCCACCAGATCTCGGGCATAAGCCTGCAGCAAAGTTGGATATTAGCCAACTAATATTAGTCATTCAACCGCTAAGCAGGCGAAAGATCAGTACTAGAAAGGCAAGAAGTTTAGTTTATATTCGTACCTTTTCTGTTTCAGACAGCTTATCATGGGTAATATACTGGCAATCAGAGACAAAACCCATCACCTCTCCCACAGCATTAAAAACTACACCTTTTTTATGCTGAGATCCGGATGGATAGTAGAAGTGCAATTCCTTGTCAAGTACACAAGTCCGGGCATGATCGACTGTCACTTCCCACATTTTAGTTGACATGCCTGTCCCAAGGATCTGCAGGATTTTGAATACACAAAAGGTGCATTATAAGCTATTTCGTCCCAAAGAAAAAACTATTTCTCCAAATAAGCAAAGAGAACTTTCACCACATTGCACAAAAAAGTCTATTTCGAATGTCAATATGGAGCTACAAAATTTTCAACTCATTTAACATGACCAAGACACCAATGAAGCACCTTCCACAAAATCAAATCCAACTGCTCACTATGTCTGTGCATATGAGAATTTAACAACAGACAGAATGAAAGCGTACTATACACACCTCTAGAACAATCACATTTTATAAACAATTTTCATTTCAAATA